GCCGCCCACCGCAGGGAAGATCGACCAGGAGAAGAAGGAGCAGAAGGACATCGAGCAGCACATGAAGGGCCTGGGCAACGACCTGAAGAGGCTGCACGTGCTCAGCAGCAGGAGCCGCAGTGACTCCGAGGGCCTGCAGCAGCACAACCTGGTGACCGAGAACGAGTTCGTGCGGTCGCTCAAGGTCCGGTCCCTCCGTCCCCGAGGGCCCAGGCCTGGGCGCACGTCGCCCGGCGCCTGCCACACAGCCGTCCCCGCCTCTTGCCCCCGCAGGCCTCCGAGAGGGAGACCATCGAGATGCAGGAGCGGCTGGACCAGCTGACCGAGGAGAAGGCGTCCATCCTCAACAACCTGGTGGAGGCCGAGTGAGTGCCCGGGGCCGGGGCCGGGGCCGGTGGTCCGCGTGCGGCCGCCCCTGCCGTGTCCACGGCAGAGTCCCACCGTCCATTCGCGTCCCCCCGGGCAGCTGCAGAGTAGCCGTGGGGCCGTGCGGTAAAGCACCAGGGATGTTGCCCATAATACTGAAAACAAAAGGAAAGCACGGCAAAGCTCTCCTGGGCTGGCGGGTCCCAGACAGTTACAGACTCCACCGCCCCAGTGTCTGCGCCTCTGCCTCTGTCTGCCTCTCTCTTCACGCCACGGGTCTGCCTCCTTCAATGCCTGGCGGGGAAGGCATTGGCTTTTCGAGCCTTCGGCGTCTGTGGAAGCCGCGGCTTGTGCGCAGCCCTGAGCGAGCAGGGCGGCCACGTGCCAGCAGATTTGATCCGTGGATGCCGGAATTTCGATTTTACCTTCTCTTCTCCTGCACTCAGTCTTTGAGATCTGCTGCGTATTTTACACGTATGGCACGTCCCAAGTTCAAGGGCTCCGTAGCTGCACGTGGCTGCAGACGCCCTATTCACATGGGAGAGGCCAACACTGGCCGCTGGCCTGGGCTGTGACAGTGTCCAGCCCCAGAGCCCTCCGGCCACGCTCAGCCCCTCGGTTCTTAGCAAAGCAGATGCCCACCCCGTGCCTGGCCGGGGTGCTAGTGGGCCTCCCGCTGATGTGGTGGGTGCCCATGAGGTGCAGCCTGTGAGCCCCGCCTGCCCACCCACACGGGCATCGTAGGCGGAAGAGCCCACCGGTGTAAGGGACAGCCAGGTGGCCGCTGGAGGCTGCACCGTATTTGGGGAGTGCGACTTCTGGGGCATGGAGAGGAGAGGAAGGAGGAGGGGACAGCAGGACAGTTGACCTCCAGCCCCACTGTGGCCTCCAGGGTGGGGCAGTCCCCGCTCCAGCAGGCACTCGAGGGGGGATGTCAGGCGCGAGGGTTCAGGTTGACCTTCTGGTCCCAGACCGGGGGAAATGTCCTCACTTAACAGTCACACCCTCCACTCGTGCTGGGTGTTGAAATACACCCCTGGGAGGTGTCTTCCACAGTGACCGCACGGGGACCGCAGACACTGGCCCCATGCCTGAGCCCGCTTCCGCTCAGACCCAGCTCTCGACCCCGCCCCACCCCTACCCGCCACGGTGGGTGGGCTCTCAACTCCTGGAGCTCAGCCGGCTCGGAAGAAATCTCCTCAAATTCTCCGGCTCTAACTTGGCCTCCTCCTTTTCACAGACACCAGATCATGCTCTGGGAGAAAAAAATCCAGCTGGCAAAAGAGATGCGGGCCTCGGTGGATTCCGAGACCGGCCAGACGGAGATCCGAGCCATGAAGGCCGAGATCCACAGGATGAAGGTGGGTGGGGAGGGCCGGTGGGGGGCCCGGGGCGGGAGCCGCCCCAGCACAGTGACCCGCACGCACGCCAAGCGTCAGCGAAACACGCTGTCCCCCCTGCCCACCGGCCTTACGTCCATGTCCACTTCTGTTCTTCCTGCACCGAGACCGTCATAGAGCAGCTGGGACGCACAGCTCCGTATGTTCTGTCCCTAGCACAGGCGATCTGTGCACCCCAATTCTTAAATGCTGGCTGTGGTCCCCGCATCTCACAACCCACGAGTGGGGTGTGCCCCACTGCAGGAGCCAGGAGGGTCCCACTCAGGGAGAGGGTTCCAAGGGCACGGCCCCCCTCTTCCCGCTGGGACGCCCCCACCACCTCTCCCCGCCGTCATCTTTAGCTGGATTTCACGACCTTTAAAAGGTGGGTGATCAAATCACAAGCTGTCACCGAGCCAAGAGTTCAAGGCTTTAAGGGTACAAATAAGAGCAGGTGACAAAAATAAACGTGACATCACTTTCACAATGCTGTTTTTAATAACCCCTCCGGCTGTTGAGCTCAGAGGAATTCTGATCAGACGCATATACTTTTGAAGCTTTAAAAAACGGTGCATTTAATTGACTTTCCAAACCACACAAAGCTCGTGGGACCAAACCGTAGGACCGAACCGTCCAGCACAGCTCGTAAACGCACGGCCCGGGGCCGCCTCCCCTCTTCTCCGTGTTTTTTTCCTTAACGAAAATAGGATCCGTACCTGCAATTCAGCAACTTGTTTTTTAAAAAAAACAACGTGGCCATTAATCCATTCTTTAAGTCCCAGAGTTTACCATGGACATATCACGATTTTTCCGATGAAAATTCAGACTGTTTCCAGTGCATCGTCTCGTCACTGTGAACGACGTTACGATAATACCCTTACAGGAGGTCCCCCCTCACGAAGGGGGGCGCATTCCAAGACCCCCCCCCGGTGGACGCCCTGCCCTATGTGTACCGGGTTTTCTCTGCACGCACATTTCCCGCTCCCGTGAAGGAAGCACTTCCGGCTTCTCCGTGGCGCAGCAGGGCCACCCGCGTCGCTACTCCTGCACTTTGGGGCCACCGAGTAAAGTGAGGGTGACTTGAACACAAGCCTCGCGACACCCAGCAGTCGGTCTGATAACCGAGAGAGACGGCCGAATCCCCCACTCGGTAATCCTGCACTAGGATTACGGGGTCGCAGAGTCTCTGGCCATACCGGCGTGCGACTGGTCACTTTTCCAAAAGCTACCTGAGCTTGGCTGTGTCCCTACAGCCTCGGCGCTGCTGGGCATCCTCCGTCTGCCAGTCTTCTGAACTGAGGCATCGAATGAAGTCAGAGCTCGCCCTTTGTGGCACGCCGTGCTGCGGGTTTTGACAGAGACATACGATCCCGAAGCCTCTTTCCGTCATCGTCACACCCCCTCGTGCCCTTCCGCGTCGCCCGGCCCCGGACAACCACCGATCCCGCAGTTTCAGCTTTTCCGGGGTGTCATGAGTGGATCGCTCGGCACGGAGCATTTGAGCCCGGCTTTGCTCACCGGCCGCCGCGTGTCTGAGATTGGTCGTGGATAGCTCTGGCGACGCGTCTAAGACATCCTCTGTGATGTTTTCTTCTAGAAGCTTCGTGCTTTTGGGTTTTCCACTTAGGTCTATGATCTATTTCAAGTTGGTTTTCGTGGACGGGGCGAGCTGCGGACCCAGGTCAGTGTTTCGGCGTGTGGACGTCACATTGTCCTTCCCCCACGGGATGCCTTCGCGCCCCCGTCGCAATCAGCTGACCACATCTTCTGGGCCGTCCGTGGCGTCCCACGGATCTACGAGCCTGTCCTTCCGCGAATCCCGCACAGGCTCCGTTCCCGCGGCTCTGTACTCGGGGGATTCCTCCAGCTTGGTCCCGCCTTTTCAAAATCGTGACGTCTGGTCTACATCTTTGGCCTTTCCATGAAAATGTGAGAATCGGCTCTTTCATTTCTACAAAACTTCCTGCTGGGATCGTGGCTGGAACTGAACAGGACGTCCAGGTCGGCGGGGAGAGAAACGACACGCGATGGCGAAGGCTCTGACCCCCGAGCACGAGGTCTCCGCCTTCACTTAGGTCCTGTTTGACTTCCCATGCCCGTGTTTCCGGTTTCTGCCACCTGGGTCTTCCGGACCTTTTTATTAGATTTATGCCTAAGCAGTTCAAGTTCTCTGGTGCTGTCGTAAATGATATTTAAATGTTTTTTCCAATTGCTCATTGTTACCGTACAGAAGTACAATTGATTTTTGTATATTAACGATTTCTGCGACGTTGCCTAACTCACTTGTTCATTTACCAGTCTTTATAACATCTGACGATTCACTGTGTGAAAAGGGGTTTTGTGAGTGTCCCGTGGCTTTGTGTTGCTGGCTCGCCCGGGGGGATTAGGCCGAGGCGCGTGCCTCCGCGTCCGCGCGTGTGTGCACACGCGTGTTCTGTGCTGCTGTTTGCATTTTGTCGATTTCTTCTTGGGCTGTTTTCTCGTTTCTCAGGAATTCCAGGAGCTCCTTGTGTTTTGGGGCACTAATCCCCGTCTTTAATACCTATTCCAAATATTCTCTCTACCGCTGGCCTTTCCGCCTGCGTGGGGTCTTGCCCGCTCAGAACGTACGCCACGTTTCTGTTGGAGAAGGTTATCCGTCGCTTTCTGTGTGGCTCCTAGGTCTCCTGTATTGCTTCAGCAGGTCCCCCCAGCTCGAAGTTACACAAATACACTCCTAGGTTGTTTTCCATGGTTCGCACATACTCAGACCTAGAATCCGCCTGGAATTTCTGTTTGCGAGGGGGTGAAGTAGCGGTCCATCTCCATTTTCTCCCAGCTGGGGAGTTTTGCCAACAGCGTGTATGAAAGAATCCACGCTTTTCTCATTAAATCGAGGTGACCCAGCAGCTCCCCACACGTGACCTGGCCGCACCCCGCTGCTCTGTTGTGACAGTCACTTGGACAAGGCTTACACCAGTGCGGAGCGTTTAGTTACTGTCACCCTGTGGTCCATCTTGAACCGCCGTCGGCCAGGTCTTCCTGCACCATTCTGGGGATTCTCGCTCACTCACCCTTTTTCCTTATTGTAATCAACTTGCTGAGGTGTAACTCACAGACAATAACGCACACGCTTTAAACGCCCAGTTTGGTGAGTTTTGACACATGTACACACGTGTGCAGCCATCACCATAATCAAGACGCATAACACTCCACCACCAGAGAAAGTTCCCTTGTGCGTCTTACAGTCGACCTGTCACCACGACCCAGTCCCCAGCCCAGGTCCCACACGCCCTTCATGGCACCCACTATTCCGCGAAACCATGGTGCGTTTGTCCCAACCGAGGAATCAACCTCGAGACACAACAACGAACCGAACTACAGACGATACCAGATTCCGCTGTTCGGGGGCTGATGTCTCTTTCCTGCTTCCAGGAGCCAAACCCCAGGCACCGTCCTCACAGCTCCCACCCCCTCCGGTCTCTGACCGTTTCTGTGTCTCCTGCTGCCGGTTCGTTCTCTATAGGGACCTTAAACCCACCCTGGCCGGTTGACGATGCCTCCAGATTCTCTGTCCTCGGGCGGGTCCCCCTCGCCGGTTCCCTGCTGGTTCCGTGGGGTGGACCGGGTGTGGGGGTGGGGGTGCTGGCAGCTCACCCGGGCAGCCGTGTCTCAGCCTCCTGCCCGGCCCCTCTGCCCTGCGTACCCAGGTCAAGCACGGGCAGCTGCTGAAGCAGCAGGAGAGGATGATCCGAGACATGGAGCTGGCCGTCGCCCGCAGGGAGACCATCGTGACCCGGGCTGAGGGGCACAGCAAGATAGACAAGCAGTTTATCACCCGGACAGACTTCCACCACAAGCAGACGGAGCTGCGGCGGAAGATCAGAGACGTCCACAAGGTAGGGGAGCCCCGACGCGGAAGGGGACGCGCCGAGGGTGGCCCGTCTGCGGGCTGGCATCCACCCGCCATCCCCCTTGCACAAGGTCGGCGTGTGTCACCAGCCTCTCTGGCAGGCATCGCTGGCCCGGGCTGTCCTCGGATGCTGCGCCTGCCCCGGCCTGGGCTGTGATTTCAGCCCGTCCCCCCAGCCCGCTTCTCAGCCAGCGCCTCTTTTTCTGCCCCTCGTTCTGGGGCTGTCGTCAGAGCTGCTACGTCAGGCTGTTCTACGAGACAGAGAAGTGACAGTGGGGCCCGAGGGGGAATAGAAGGGGCCTGGCTTTGGAACCAGACGAGCCAGCTTTGTCCTGCACCGTGGACAAAAGCCACCGCGTCCTCTGAGCCTGAGACCCGCACCCCACGTGCTGGTTCTGGGTGGTGACACAGTGGCTGCCAGAGAGCCCTGGAGGTCAGTGGGTGCCTCCCCAGGACCCCTGATGTCTGCAGTGTTAGGGCCTCTCTCGGGTTTAACAGGAGGTCTCACTGGAGGGTGCAGCTGGGAGCTGGAGGCGGCCATATATCAGCCCCTTCTGCGTAACGGAAGCGCCATCAGGGACGCGTGGTGTCAGCGAAGGCATGGGCCTCCGTGTCTGACGCTGAGTGGGTGCAGGGCACAGGCCGATGGGGACGCGAAGACACCCACGTGAGCCCACATCTCTGCTCGCCAGGCCACACTGACCAAGCACGTGGTGTGTGCCCTGGACGGGGAGCAGCTGGTGTCCCTGAGCAATCGCCAGGCCAGGGTTCAGGCTCAACCTTCCCTCGGCCCGCGCTGCGCAGCAGTGTGGCCTTGGGTGCGTGTGGAAGCTTTGTAAGCCTGTTTCCTCGTCTGCCCGGTAGAAACGTGAGCAGTTAACCCCTGCCAGCTAGGCCAAGGGTCACGTGAGGCAGACCCTGACCGCGGACCCCTGCAGTGGGGGTCCAGCCATCTCTGCCTCTCACAGCTCAGGCCGCTGGCTGCCTCTCTGTGCCTCAGCTTACTGACCTGTGGAATGGACACTCATGTCACGAAATGCTGGACTAGCCCCGAGGGAGTAAGTCCCGTGTAAGGGCAGGTCAGCCGAAATGACAGACGTGACCCAGCTGCTAGTTTGGATGTCACTCAAGGTGGCCGAGTGGCCTTTTCTGGGTCCTTGTCGGCTCATCTTCTCTGTCACACCGGCCACTCCTGACACCCATTCCTCCCCAGCCATCCCGGCTCCCCTGGGCGTGCCTCTCACCCCTCCCCAGCAGAGAGTCCTGCTGGGGCCCCCTCCCTGCCTCGCCCGCCCCGACGCCCTCCTGCACCCACGTCTGGCTCCCGGCGACGGGACGGGTGCACACCAATCCTCCTGCGTCTCTCACACACACGCCCAGCGCGACCTCCGGTCACCCCGGGCAGTCGCATCGCACACACTCCGGTGTCCCCAGCCACAGCCCGAGCACTTTCTCCTTCGTTCATCCACCGGAGCCGCCAGCAGCCAAGCGCTATCAGACTTCGCTTCCTCTTAATCGTCTGCTTCCCCCGAGAACCAGCCCCTGCCCCCCAACCCCACGGTGACGGTGCCCAGCCTGTCCTCTGTGCTCTGGGCTGCAGATGCCGGCCACCTCCACTCCCACGCCCTGCCTCACGCTCCCCGGCCCACGCCTGCACCCCTGCGGCACGGCCCCTGCCCCGGGAGTCTCCCCCACTTTTGGCACGCAGCTGCCAAGCTGCGCCTGGTTCCCGGTGCCCATGCAGACACATCCCCTGCAGGAGGGGGGGGCCCCCCCAGGACTCTTGGCGCTCCCCGTCTTTGTTCAAGTGGAGCCCGTCTTTGGGGAGCGGTCCACAGTGAGGGTTTAACTGGGCCCTGGCGTCCCACTGGAACTTCCTCCCGCTCCCGCCCTGGTCGCGGTGTGAGGCGCTGGGACTGTCCTCACCCCCGGGACTGTCCTCACCCCGGGGAGTCCTCCCAGACCCTGTGCATAGGAGGCTCTCGGCGGGGCCTTCCAGCTCGACTCCTCTCCGCCCACTAGAGAAGCAGGACGCAGGGTCCCCAGATGACCCCGCCTGTCCCCTAGGCCACCGAAGCGTGCACCACCACCCTCTCGGAGCTGGAAGACACGCAGAAGCACGTGAGCGACCGCCTGCAGGAGCAGCAGGCTCAGCTGTCGGCCGCGCAGGCCCACACCGAGGAGCTCGATGCTGACCTGGACCGGCTCGTGGCCCTCAAGCGACAGGTAGACAAGGCCGTGAGCCACGAGGGCCACGAGGAACCCAGGCCAGGGAGTCTGCTGCCGTCACAGCCGCAGCGCCACATGTCCACGGGCGCGGCCTGCCCCGGACCCGGTCAAGCCCGAGCGTGGCGTGACCCTTCGTCCACCATTGTGGTCCGGGCATGGCCCTGGGCACCTCTGTGGGCTGCAGCGTGGAACAGAAAAGCCCCCGTCCCCCGTCCCCCACCCTCCCAGAGGCCACGTCCTGGGGGCGGGAGGGAGCGCACGTTAGATGGTGGCAGACGCTCTGGAGAAAATCTGGGAGGAGCGGGGGCGGGGTGGCAGGGGGTGGAGACGGCCGGTGGAGCAAACGTGAGTCGGGCTTGCCGGAGACGGAGTCGGGGGAGCGGGCCACCCCGGCAGAGGGCGCAGACTGTCCCCGCAATGCGGAGCCTGTGCCTGTGGCCGTTGGCGTCCTCTGCCGTTTCCCGCGACCTGAGTGTGTATGGGGTGGCCCCGGGGGCCCTCTTTTCACTGTGCACTGCCTGACCCAGATCCCCTCTCCCGCCCAAGAACCTTTCCGAGCTCGTGGCCCTGCAGACACGCCAGAAGCACCTGCAGGCGGTGAAGGATGGCAGGTATGTGTTCCTGTACCGCTCCAAGGACTCACTGCTGGGGGAGCACAGGCGCATGCACAACCGGCTGGCCGCCATCGGCTCCATCCTCGACCACGTCAAGGACGAGTACCCCCAGTTCCAGGAGGTCCTGCTCAAGGTCAGACAGACGATCGCCAGCAAGCTGGAGTCACCCGGGCCCTCCTAGAAAGCGGCCTGGCCGGCGACTTCCCGGGCTGGCCTCCGTGGAAGAGCTTGGGATAGCATAAAAAGATTTAGGACCTTTCTGTGTCACTGAAAGCCACGTTTGCCCTCAGAGAATAACACCATTTAAGAGGTCAGCACTATAGGAATTTCTTCAGCCACCCAGCTGGTTAAACCCTGTCGAATCCCAGTGTTTCCAGTCGCATCGAAGGCAGGCGTCCCTCTGCGAAGGCCGCGCTTGCTCTCCCGAGTGAGACCTGGGCAGGTGGGGGCCCCCACTTCCCCACGTGAGTGCTCAGAAGGGGGCTGTGCTCCCTGCCGTGTGCTGACGCCAATTCAGAGCCGGGTGGGTGAGTGAAGGGGAGGGGCCCACGGGAGGCGCGAGCAGGAAGGCGCCCGGGCCTCAGCACCTCTGCCAGGGCGCACCCGAAAGCCCACACGCCCCCTTCTCACCCGTGCTTCCCCGGCCCCCACCCCCACTCCCAGCCCCGGCTAAGACCAGACTCACAGCTCCCAGGAGGAAGTGCGGGCGGATCGAGCCCACGCAGCTGTTTACAGGGACCTAAGGAAGGAAACGAGACCCTGCACGAGGGTGAATGCTGAGACCACGTCCCATTGTCCCGCCTTCACCGCCACTGGCTTCCTTCTCCCCCGCCCGATTCCTGAGCTCTTGTCACCTTGTGGCTTCTATGCAATGTAAACGGAAAATGTTCAACGCGATCATTTCATTTCAAACTTTTCAGCAGAAAAATAAAACTTTTTTTGAGAATAAGGGAGAAAGGCATTTATCCTGAAACATTTCAGAAAAACAAAAACCATAAAGTGGGGTCGATTTTATGTTTCCCTTTACGTAATGAGTAAGTTAATAAGTGACTTAACTAAAGCCGCTTCCACGTGTTCGCTCTTTGCCATTTCGGTGCCGAACACCTGTGCCCGCCTCGCAGGCCGGACTGGCGGGAGGGGTGCACCCCCGGACGGCCGGGCCGGCTCCCGGAAACCCGACAGCCGC